CCGGGCGCTGGTGCAGAGAAACGGAGACGGTTTCTTTGGGGCATCGCAGCGACAGAGCAGAAGGAAGCAAAGGTCTTGCCTATTTTTTTTCTCTCTCTCTCTCCTCTCTCTCTTTTCTGCGAGATAGACCAACAGGAAACACATTGACGGAAATGTTGCCAAAGCCCGTAGAGTGGCTTTAACTGGTCTCTCTGTTCAGCGGAGGTGTAAAATCAGAGGAGGGGAAAGATCAGGCTAGGGACCGCGGGAAATAAAATCGGGCGAAGGACATGAGCGGGCCCGGGACCCGGCGTGCCTCCAGGCCCCGGGCTCCCCGGGCAGGCGTGTCCGCGGCCGGCCGGTGACCCTGGGCGCTGTGCCTCTCTTTGAAGGGAAGCCGCTGCTGTGGAGCCCCTTCATCCAGCGGCCGCTGCACAAGAGGAAAGGGGGGCAGGTCCGCTTCTCCAACGACCAGACCATCGAGCTGGAGAAGAAGTTCGAGACACAGAAATACCTCTCCCCGCCGGAGAGGAAGCGCCTGGCCAAGATGCTGCAGCTCAGCGAGAGGCAGGTGAGGCCGTGCCCGCACCCTGGGGAACCGCACCGCATCCCGGGGCAGCCCCCGGGGCCGGTGGCACCGGCCCGCTCCGGCCCCTGCCGTGCGGCTGCTGTGGGTGCATCGCTCCTGGGGACCCTGCAGGCCAGGGGGCGGGGGGCTGGGTCTTGCTTTCTCTTTGTGGCTCGGGTAAGGCTCCTGGCGCTTACCAGCTCTGAGACTACCCCGTGCCTTCTCTTGTTGTCGTTGCTTAGGTCAAAACGTGGTTTCAGAATCGCAGAGCCAAATGGAGGCGTCTAAAGCAGGTACGGGGATGTTTCCGTTTCTATAGAAATAAGTATTTTAATTGTCTTATCTTATGCCGTGCTCGCCTATTCCAGGTTGTATGCAGAAGTCATCTGAAAGGCTGTTTAACCTCTTCACCTTGATTAAAAAGACAAATAGTCATGCTGGAATCCATGAGGGCCCGTTCAGGCAGCACTAACGTTAAAAGCTCCTAATGTAGTTCCTATATCAATTATGCCCGGCTTTCACACACCGCCTATTAAAACTCCACGCTAATTGTTTTGTAAACCCATATGTTGTTTAGCCAATTAACGTGGAGAAGATAAGTAATTGTCAGTAAATTACTTAGTTGTTTTGGAGAAGAATATTTACTGGTCTTTTAAATCGCCCTCTCTTAATAAACACAAGTCGATTTATTCTGCAAATGTTGGGAGAGGCAGGTAGAAATGCCTTACTTGTTTTGAGGAGCCGCATGGAAAATTGAGAAGCTTTTACTTTTCGTTTACAAGTAGTTATAGTGTATGAGGCTCAGAGGTTGAAGCGGTTTCCCTTCCCTTAGAAATTGTGCTCAAGCAGATAAATCTTTTTTTTACGCCCCAGAGGGCCCAATCCTGCCCGGCTTGGCCAGGTCGAGGCCCCTTGGCTCAAAGATTTGTGAAAAATCCCTGCATTGTGGCCTGAGTCTGGCTTCAGTAAGTGTGACATGGATTGTCGAGTTTTACTGGTAAATCAGCCTTTAATATAAAAATAATAAGAAAACTAACGACAGTGCCACGCTCTAGATGTATTTGTTCTGTGACCTTCCCCCTGGCTTAACCCGTACTTCAGTTGATTTTTTAATAAAATCCCTTTGCTTCGGCAAGAAGCAGGCTGGGTCCCCGGCGGTGCCTCCTTGGCAGGGCCTGGCCTGCGCCGCAGTGTCCGGAGAGCTCGCTTGGGATCTCAGCCATTTTAAGTCATTTCCTCCTTTTCATTCAGTCGCATCCATTTCTCCGAGCCCGCACGGTTATATCATGGGTACGTGTCTCTGCCTGCTTTTAAAGAGTATCATTCCATGCCCCCTTAGGGGACCGGGCTCCCCAGATGGCTGCCGACACAGGGCTACTCCTGCCTTTGGAAATGGGGTTTTGTTTTGGTTTGATTTGTTTTTAATGGTGAGTGCTTTAATGTTGAGTTTTAGCTTAATTAGTAATTTTTTTCCCCGTTTGCTTTTGGGCTACTGATGGATTCGGCCGCCCTCCTTTTGCTTTTGGGTGTAATTAAAGAAAGATCAGGGCAGGAGGAAGCTGTGTGTCGGTGTTTGTAGACTCATAATAAACATTTGCTTTGCTAAAGACAAAAGTTCAGAGGTTCCTGGGCTCCGGCAGCTCCTGACTCTTTTGAAGTGGCTGCGATAACCATCGCCAAGGAGCTTTATTCACGGCAGCGGCCCCTGTGGCTGCCGGGGAGCGGGATCAGAGCCGAGCCCGTGCGTGCGGCTGAGCCCTCACCCGGCCCCAGTCCACTCGGGCAGCTTTATAGGCAGGAGGCCCAGGGAGGTATAGCAGACACCTGCCTTTTCGTGCAAGAAACCCAGGGTGGTTTTCCCACATCCAGCACAGCTGGAATTCCCAGGCCTCCTGGCTCTGTGGGCCATATTTCTGTATAAAGCAGGCTTCTTTCATTGCAGGAGAACCCCCAGGCCCCCAAAAAAGAAGAAGTGGAAGGTGCTGACAGTCACAGCGACCAAAGGCCGGAGAGCTGCCCGACCCCCGAGCAGAAGGGTAAGGAGGTCTCCCTGGACGGCTCGCAGTACACCCCCTCACCAGCCTCGCAGGAGGACCTGGAGTCAGACATCTCTGACGACTCTGATCAAGAAGTGGACATTGAAGGCGATAAAGGCTATTACAATCCTACCCACTAACAGCCCCATGCGGAGAGTGGACCCTAAGTCGGCTTGCACTTTACCAGGGGCTGGTTTGGAAGAACATTATGCTACAGGAGAAAACTTTCACCGTTCCACTGAAAGGAAAACAAAAAAACCCACCACCAAATAGACTCGTTTTATAATAAGCAGAGAAAGAAAGATGTATTTTCCGCAAACAGTCCATTTTTGGCAGATCTCTAATTTGGTTAAAGGAACATGGTTTGTATTTAATTATTTGTAAGATATATTTGTACATTAATCGGTGTTCTAACTGGAATATAATACTGTACCCTGTCCTTACTCATGGAGGGGTCTGAATCAGCTGCTGGTGGTGATCAGGCAAAACTCCTCCCTAGGTAGTGTGGAAATGAGTATGGATTGCAGGACTAAGCCCTTTGTATGTGTAAACAAATGTAGTTTAAATAGATTAATTTAAACACCCTTTGCAAGCAGAGAAACATGTTCTGTGAAATAGGGAGGGATTTGACCATCCCAACAAGTGCCTTATGCTCACACCCTTTTACCTGCCATGGTGCTCTCCACTGAGACATCCCTCCGTTCATCAGGTAGAGTCTTCGGACAGATTCATTTTTGTTCTTGCGTGAGACAAAATGTGCCTTCTCAGTCTTTTGAGGACTTTGCCCCGCAATCTGGATGGTTCCATTTGCAGGAAAAAAACCCCCGTATTTTTCTCCTTGAAAATCTGTAGCGCTGTTTTTAACAGATTCTGTATTTGAGAAGAAAATGCAAGGAGTGATAGGACCCTGCTGCAGTAGAGAAGCTGGCATCAGCTGTGGGGGATAAGTGAGGCACACAGCCGTGGGAAGATAATGCCTATTGTATACGTATCTGCTTCTGTACATATTAGTTTTCTTTAAAAGTCTTGCGGTTTTATACCTCACGTTGTTCATATTTTGTACATATTTGTTCAATGTTTAAAAAAACCAAACAAACCCTGGTATTTAATTTTTGATGGACTTGTCTGTGAAATAAAACTAAACTCTGCACCACCCGCCATGCTGGCCATCCAGTTACTGGCAGGAGAAATCCCAAGCCTCCCCCCTGCCAGGTGTGTTGTAATCGGGCTTTTCCCTCCAGTACCGTGCCGGTCACCAGCCACCCTGCAGCCCTCTGGGCACCCTCGCGTTGCGGGGATCTCGTGTGGGCTCGCTGCTTTTTCTTTTTTTTTTTCTGTTTTTCAGCCTGCCACCCCGCCTTTTGGTTTTGCCTGTACCTGTGCCTGCACGGGAAAGGCTTCTGCGGCGGGAGGAGGAGAGCCTGGTCTGCGAGCCCGAGCCCCGGCTGGGAGCGTAGGTGTTTACCCCCCGGCTTGCCCCGACCCTGGGGGGAGCCGGGGGGGCGCGGGCTGGAGGAGGAGCGGTGCCTGCTCGGGGCCGGGCATCGACCCCAGCCAGGGCAGCCGCTGACCCACCTGAGTCAACAGTGGTTATTCATCGGCCTTTCTCCGAAATGATGCCGGCCCGGGGGCGCGGGGAAGGACCCCGGAGCCCGGGGGTGCAGGGAAATGCCCGCGGGACCGGGCATCCCGTGGGGGGACACCCGCGCGGGTCAGTGTGTGTGTCTCCCCCCCGGGGTTCCGCAGCGAGCACCTAGGGGACAGGTGCCCTCGGCCGGGTGCCACAGAGGCTTTTAGTGCCAGGAAAGGATTTTAGGGAGCAAGAAATGACTATTTTGATTGGCAAGGGGGGGCGGCCCTTAGGGCAGCCGGTGCGTCGCGTCTGAGCAGGTTAACGCTTCGAGAAACAGCAGCCGAGTCCTCTGAATAATTGAGCGGCTTTAGCTTTGGTTTATTCTTTTAAAACGGGCGTTCGGGAGCGGGGCCAGAAAACAAAGTAAACGGGGAGGTTCCGTTGCCACCCGTTCGTGCAGGCCGGGAAAGGGGAGAAGCCCCTGGCCGACCCCTCAGCCCCGCAAGCCGCGGTGCGCGCAAGGCGGGGAGATCGCCGTCGGGAGCAGAAAGCGCGCAGCGGGGCTCCGCTCGGGAGCAAAACGCTTTTCCATCTCTCGCGTCTTCCTCTCGCTCAGTGTTTCTGTCGCGGGTCTCAGCCCGGGTCCCGACGGGGACGGGAACAGCCCGCTGTGAGTCTGCGGGGCTGAGCCGCGGGAGCTGCGGGAGGGGGCGGGTGTGTGTCCCGGGAGCAGGGCGGGGGGCACTCGGGAAGGGGCGTCCCGGCCCTTTCCCTTCCGTTTGTCCTTCTCTTTTCTGTCTGTCCCGACCGAGGTCGGGGAGCACGAAACCGGCGTTACCTCTTCAGGGCGGCTTCGTGTTACGGCTGTGCTTTCGCGCGGGGACGGGAACACGCGTGGGACAGCCGCCGCGACGTGTGGGCGACAGGCGGCGGCCCGGGGGTTGCGGGGCCTCCGTAAACCCCATTTCCACGCGGGGCGACGCCGGCATCCCCCGGCCGGGGCAAGCCGGGAGCCAGCCGCGCTGAAAGACTTGCCCGGCCCGATGCGATGGCGGGGGTGGGGGCTCCGCCCGGGGCACGGCTCGGGTCTGCGTCCCGGCCGGTGTAACGGGGTCCCGGAAAGCCGGGCTCGTTAAAGCCAGGCGCTTTCCCAGCAGTGGCAGGGCATTTGGCGGCTCCCTGCAGGTGGGGAGCGCAGATGCATCGTCTGCAGCCGCCGGCCCGGGGATGTGGATTTCCAGGGCGTCGGGAGAGGTGACGAGCGCTGTCACCCGGGCTCGGCTCTGGAAATGCCCCTGCTCACCCACCCGCCCGGGGAGGGGGGCTCACCGCTTCGCGGCACCGAGGCAAAACACGCCGGCGGGGCCGGGCTGAGCCGCCGGTCAGAAATGCCCCCCCGCCCCGCGCAGCATCGGTCCCTAACGCCCAAAGCCCGCGTCCGCAGCGGGGCAGACCCGCGTGGGGATGCCCACGGCGAGGCGGGCGAGCTCTCCCCGGGCGGTCTCTTCTCCTCGGCAGGAGAAAACCGGCCAAAGCACTTTACACCGTTCGGTAAAATCTTCGAGCCCCTTCCGTGCCACCCTGCTTTTTCCTATTTGTTTGCCTGTTGGCTATTTCATGCCGAACTAGCACGTATGACCTTTCCAGCACAACTCCCGTCTTGTTTTCGACTTTTTTATCAGCCGATTCAACTTGAAAATGGTTATCATTTAGCAGAAAAACAAACAGAAAAGCACATTTTTGTAAGCAAAACGTTAATGATTGGAAGAATTGCACCAATTTCAGCCTGACAGTGTGTGATTAATCCCCCGGGTCAGGTACTTATATTTTTAGCCATTAGGTTCGTCGGCCTTTGATATGCAGAACTGTTTCTAGCCGAAGAGGAGGATATCGACCCAGCCGCCGATGTACTTTGCCCCCTTAGGCAGCGCGGCCCCCCCCCGCCCGCAGCGGCTCCGCCGCCGGCCCC